CACTGCCTCCCGCAGTTTGGTCACTTTGCACATATACCAATACTAATTTGTTTAAGTCAGACTCCCATTGATTTCATTGGATTAAGGGACAGTTCAGAGGAAGCTTGGTGGACATCTTGTATGCCGCCATCTTGGAGCCCTCCCCTAAGTGATGTAGAAGAGCTCTAAAGGCAATAATCCCTATCATTCTCTAGTATGTGCAGAGCATGCCCCTTAGGGCTGAGATGTTTAAATGCACAGCTTTATTTGAATGAGCAACTAATCTTAGCTACCAAATTATTTTGCTTTTTATTATGTTTTTATTGTTGTGCTCTGTAAAATGTGTTTTTAATGTTGTAGGCTGCTCTGGGATCTTTTGAAAAAGGGTGGCATATAAATTGCAATTATTATTGTTGTTATTATTATTATTATTATCATCATTTAGATTGGGAGCTTTAATGATCTTTGACAAGTAATTCATTGGGCAGAGACGAAATAAGAATCCAGATATGCCACACATCAACATCACACATCATGTCTACTTTTCTTAGAAGGGGATTTGTACATGTTCAATGCCATTGAGAGATCATTAGCCCAAAGGTTTCCATTGGCATCAGCTTTGGACCCAAGCCCAAACCTACACAATTCAGTCATTGTTCTAAAACATGTCTGAGTTCCAGTTCTCTCTGCCTGCTACAAAACTCTGAAGGCACTCTGATATGGACAAAGACCTCCTGACTTCTCCGGCTTTCCATCTGCTGCAGGATCAGGCAGCTCCACAGAGAGAATGGAGAAAGCCTTGAGCATGTGGGATTCCTGGGTGAACAGTTTGCTTATGGGTCAGGGCAAGTAACTTAGTTGTATGATAGCTTTCATGTTAAAGCTGAGGTGGTTCATTGGTGCTCACAAGGTGTGGTGGTACGCAGATCCAGTGGTGGTATTTTTGCAACAGCAGCTTGTAAATCTGGGCCTCCCAGGAATTCCAGGTTCTGATGTCTAGTAAACAAGAATGAGTTAAGTGAATGAGTGCTTTCATATTTTTGTGCTTCATTTTACAGACCTGGGGTAACCTGTGTTTATGAACGATTGCTGCAAATTCCAATGTTTAGATATTGCAATTTCACAGCAACATGGTATGAGATATTTTTCTATTTATGAGCTATCAGAGAAGCAAATCCTTTTCATCACCAGACAGCCAAGCACTCAGCTGGAGACTATCAAAAGCCTAAAGTCACCAAGAGACTAGTACTGTCTTGCTGCAGAACTGCATTTTCCCCTCCCCCATCATAGATGAATAAGTCTCTTTTTCAATACTGTGCCAATTCCCACTGAAGGCAGAGCAGAGGAAGTTCCACATGATTAGTGCTGTCTCAGACCTTCAAAGTGCCTTAATTTTAATCATTTGGCGAGGGTGAAAGGTAGTGAAGATGCCTCTGAAAAGGCTGGAGGATGGAGAGAACTGCATCAGACTCCCTCCCCCCCTATAGGATGGGTTGTTTTTTGAACTAATGTTAGGGAGGGTGTCCTTTCTTTCAGTTCAAACATTTTAGAAAAATCCCACACTCGCTCTCAGTACCACAGCAAGGCTCTTTAGAGATTGGCTTCCAGCTCAACAGCACCTTATTTATTTGTTAAATATGTTAGTTGCTTTATCTTGCCCAGAGCAACCAAAAGTGACTTACAACTAAACAAACAGACAATAAACCTCACATAGGTACATTAAAACCAACAGGAAATACATTAAAAACATCTCATCCACTTCTAAAAGGCCACAGATAGTTAAAGCCCACAGGCCTGGTTATAGAAGAAAGTTTTTGCTTGGCACCTAAAGATATATAATGATGACACCAGGTGATCCTCCCTGGGGAGAGCATCCCACAAGTGGGGAGCCACCACAGAAAAGGCCCATTCTCATGTTGCCTTGGCACACAAAGAAGATGATGATTGCAGGGTCCAGGTGGGTTCATATGAGGGGGGGGGAGATGGTCCTGGAGGTACTGCAGTCCTGAGCTGGTTAAGGCTTTATAGATTAAAACCAGTGTTTTGAATTTGGCCCAGAAACTAACTGGCAGCCAGTGCAGTTGGGCCAGGATTGATGTCATGTGCTCAAACCAGCTTGCCCCAGTGAGCAAGCAGATGCTGAATTTTGCACCTGTGATCTCAATGTGGGTTTTGTGTTTTCTGGCCACTTTACTGATTGGCTGGGAACTGATGACTTCTTCCACCCCACCCTAAATCCATTTTTTTCATCTCTTTTAAACGGTACTTATTTATTTATAAACGGTATTTATATTAAAAAAATAGCCTTAAAAAATTACCTAACAGAGCAATACATTTTTTTAGAATAACAATATTAAAAACCAAAGCATGGGGGAAAGTCTGAGAGAGATAACTCAGTTAGCATTCAGTTTGCTGGCATGTACCGGTATGTATGTATATGAAAAACAGTACAAAAGCAAGGGGAATCTTGGGTGGCAGGAGAAGAAACCATGGCGAATCCTATTTTTAAAGCACATCTCTCTCTACCCCTGATGGTGTTCAAAGGAACAAATAAACCTAACATCAGCTTCCAAATCATTTTTTAAAATGCATTTCTCAGAATACAAGTAAGAAAAAGTTGTGCATGAAAATCCCAGAAAGTACAATTTCATATGAGGGTGTAGCAACAGGGAACAAATCAACACTTCTTCCCAGCAACTAAGATGCACCACTGCTGGATTTGGGGAACTAGCCTCTGTCTGACTAGCTGAGAGGTGTGCATTTTGTGCGTTGTAAGCATATGATACTTTTGGTCTGAAGGCTGTAGGAGCTTTTGGCCAGCTGCGCCTAGTGCCACATGAGTTTCATTATATCTTTGTTCTCGGTGACTTCTCAACTATTTCGAGACAGGTTGCTGAGCGTCGGTCCTGTCCTGTTGCCAGACAAGAAAGACGGAGAGAGAAAAGTGTTAAACTGTTTTGTCAAAACAATTTTGGCTAATGAGTCTGGGCAACAGACATCCCATTTAAAAAACCCAGACCTCTTGGAGTGCAAGTTGTAGGATATTTGCTTATTAGCTTTCTCTCATTTTTGGTGCCCTTCACCTTTTCTGAATAGCACTTTTCTTCTCAGCAAGGCTGCTTTGCATAGTAAAGAACCCCCACGACAAGGGCTCTTTTTTTCGTCTCTCCCTCTGAGGTTCTTAATCCATACAGTTTCACTTCCACGTCACTTAGCCTTTTCTTTATAGAGCCACACCCACTGGGCCAGAAAAGAACAGCCCCACACAACTGGCCGGACAAAAACCTGCCATTTTCTCTTCCTTGCCACAATAGTTTACCCATTTCTTCTAGGGTAATTAACATAGCTCTGTGGCTGAAATTATCAAGTAGAATTGCAGCTAATATCTCTTGGCAGCCAACTGCAGTGGAGGTTCTTATTAAGATTATCAGGAGAGAAGTCAGAATGGAAGAAGAATGAATGGTAACAAGTAGCTTAACATTTTTCTGTATATTCAATTTGTTCAGCAAGCATCTAGCTGCAGGTTTCTGCTATCCAGCAAAAAGCACTCTTTCTTACTTTAGCGCAGCAAAAAGATTAATATGTGTTGTAATGGCAACAGCAAGCCAAATGAAGTCTATTAGTTAACTATGTGTCTGTTTTGGAGAGTAGAGTAGGCAATTTCTACAAACTTTTTCCAGCATTTGGGTTTTCATTATGGGGGTATTGAACAAAGAATCAGACAGGCGATCTGTGAAAGCCCTTGAAATTGTACTCCAATCAAGAACCTTTCTAGACTTCCATTGCCGTCCCTGCTGCTTTCCAACTCATGGAAGGCAAAGGTCTGCATCAGGGAGTCTCCATACTTGTGGAGGCTCCTTGGGCATCTTAGAGCCCTGATTTGCCAGGAGCTTCCAAAAGTGCTGGAGATTCCCTGATTCCCTTGCCTTCCATGAGTTGGAAGATGATGCCTGCCACAAGAGGGAGATGGAGCTAGTCTGATAGTCCCTGCTGATCTTCATTTGTGCCTTTATCTTTACCTTTATCTCAGTTGTAATGCCTGCTGCATAGTGTTACCAACACTTGTGAGCCAGGTGTCTTTGAGAACTCTTCAAGCAGGCCATGAAGGTAACCACTGATGCCAATAAAACAAAATAAAACAAAACACCTTTTGGCTCTCTCTGGATCTTGTCACAAATTAAACTAACTCATATAAACTAGAACCGAAACAAAGTTGAATGACACACCTGGATTGAATCAAGCTACCACTGAGTGTTGTTTTGTTTGACATAAGTTGTTTATTTTAAAGTTATTGTGACTTTTTATATTGGATCAGATTGTTACTATTAATGTTTGATGTTTTATTGTGTTTTTATATGTGTTGGAAGCCGCCCAGATTGGTGGGGTATAAATAAATAAAAAAGTATTATTATTGTTATTATTATTATTATTATTATTATTTATTATCACCGGCCAGATGCAAAATCAAAATTAGATGTTTTATATTTCAGTGAGGAACATAGTATAGATAGTACTGCGTTGCAGCGAGGCTTTCTGTCATCTTGGTTTCAGCTCAATGACAGGACAGGATAGGATGTGTTGCATATGGTGTTCTCTCATAGCCATCAACTGCCCCGGAAGAAACAGGACATCATTTTTTTCTTGTGAGAAGACAGTGGCTTCAGTGGCCACTGTGATCTTGCGCAATTTTCGGCTGCACTTTGGGTGGGGGCAAGGCATCCCAAAACACACGTTTTGGGGTGCTATGCACAAAAAAGTGCCTTGGGGGGCTGCAATCTCATGTGGGTCATGTGACTCGCATGGGAGTGTGGACCCAGAAGATAGCGTTCAGGATTTGGGCCACATCATATTGCAAGGTATTTGCTCTATGATTTGTGTAAGGAGGAGGGAATTCCAGCATGCCAGGGGATGCTTCCTGACCCTCTGACAATCTCCTCCCTCGGGAACATGGGTTTTGCAGACATCCTACAGCAGTGCTCTCCTCCAGGGCAATACTGCTCTACTTGATCTGCAGTGTGTCAGAGCTCAGTGGCAGAGCATCTGCTGTGCATGCAAAAGGTTCCTGGTTCAATTCCCTGGCATCTCCAGGAGAGACCCCCTGTCTGAAACCTGCTGCTGCCAATCAGGGTAGATGATACTCAGCTAGATGGACCAATCGTCTTACTCAGTATAGCATAGCTTCCTATCTTCCTGTGTAATGTTAGACTCACCAGTAGATGCCATAGGCATCTATCTATCTATCTATCTATCTATCTATCTATCTATCTACCTTTCTATCTATCTAATCAACTATCATCTATCTAATTGTGCTAGCTTTATTTAATGCCTCAGAAATTGCTGCAGTCTGAGCGGCTTCAGCTTTTTACATACACATAATGGTATTGAAACACCTCTGGAGTGGTAGCAATATCTCTATGAAAAGTGTGAATTCATCACACCATGCTGCAAGGCTTCATATGTAATCCGGATTATTTATTCATAGATGGGGGTGGGGGCTCCTGCCAGGACCAAATGTGAAAGATAGCATCAATAAAAATATTGTGCATGTGTGAGCGTATTGCATTAGCACTCCTAATGGCACAAAATTATGCAAAAGTATCCTTGTCAGTTTGTTCTTTAAAATTATCCTACACACAATAAATTGTTTAACAGATCTCATGGATGTGCAGAAGACAGGACTGAAATAGTGAATCACCATGGCCTATTTTAATATTTTATGAATAATTTCTGTAATTAAAGGCAAGGGCCCACAGCCGGGGACTGTGTAGAAATACCAAAGTACTCCACCCCAAAGAGATTCCATAATGAGACAATATGAGCCCATTAAAATACACACTCACCCCCCCAAAAAAACAACAACAACATGCACAGAGTGGATGAGAGCTTATAGCACTGCAGTAAAAAAGAAGAGGAAAAGGGCAGATATCCCACAGAATGAGTATATGTTCCTGAGAATGAGGCAGAAAAATGGAAGCCTCCTTCGCAGGGTGAAATCACCTTTGGGAAAGCGTGTTCTCCTTCATGGAGAGCACGTGTTGCGGTGGGGACCGCCAGGACACTCCAAAGTTGGGGGCTAATTGTTCGTTGGCTGCTGATGCGATTGGGGCTTCCCTTGTTGTTGGGAAGAAGTTAATGTTGCCATTTGTTGATTGACAGCCAGAAATGCTAAAACTCCTTGCACGAGGCTAGGGCTTCCTCTTTTCGCCCGTGCATCGGATTGCCCGTCCCCCCCTCCCTAGAATTAGGGTTGTTCGCTTTGACCTTGCTATGCCTGTCATGGGGTCGTCTGCTTTGGAGCGGGGGCCCGGTAGGAATTTTGTCCATCTGGCTGATTGGCTGGGGCCATTTGGTTTTTGCCTACTGCGTAGCAAATTGTCACAACTTGTAAGGTTGCGGTTAGGCATTGGTTTATGGTTTGGTTGGTTGAGGGGCAGTGGTTGAGTGCCTGCCCTTGGTAGGTTGAGTGCCTGCCCCTCTAATGCTGCTGCTGCAAGGGATTCCGTTAAAGGAATTGGGGGCTAACTATTGCTTGTCCACTCTGTCAAGGGGGCTTGGGCCATAGCAATGAGCTCCTGGTTGCATTTGGGGTGAGGGCAGGTTCCCTGCTCCGCGTAACCCTCAAGTGTATTCCCCCATTCTGACATCGTTCGGAATGTCAGTCTGTCCCCCATGGTGGGGGCAGATAGTCGCAACCAATGCCTATGCAACCACTCACAAATTTGTATTTCAATAAAGTTGTGGCCAAAATTATGCCAAAAATCTTAAACAAAAAATTCTGTGTGATGTGTGAGTTATTGGGGTGGTCCTGAGGACCTCGACACGCAAATGGGAGTTTCAGCAGAGCACCAGTTTGAATCTAAATTTTAAGGAGAGAGTGCACATATGTAACAATCTTTTAAGAACAGACTCCAATAACACAAGAGGGACCTGGAATCCCATCACAGAGCAACAGAAATCTGTTTTACTGAACCTGCTGTGCCATCTTTGTTCATCCTACTAGGTTCACATTTGTCCTTTTGCCTTTTCTGACACCCAGTGCCCTTCTCCTAAATAATTGGGGGGTTAATAAAGATTTATATATAGTAAGTTGTTTTCTCTGCTCTGTAATGTATCTGGAGAACAATAATCAGGTAAAGGCATAATTTAGTATTAATTAATCAGCGCTGAATGATTGTTCTGCTTCTCACCTCACCCTTTGCCACTAATTTAGGTCACCCTTTTTCTTTTTAATATTCTTTTGACTACCTTGTGGGTACTGGCTTGTACCCTCAAAATGTTTATAATATATTTTACCCATGAGGAACATCATAAACTATTCTCAAGCAACCAGTTTTGGATTCTGTCCGCCTCCACCCAGGTTTCCCTAGGGTTCAGCAAAAATAAAAGGGAAGAAAAGAGGACAGACTGTCATAGAACTCTACAGCTTCTTTTCCATGCCCTTTGGCCCCAAGATGCTGTGCTGAGAGATATGGAAACTGTTTTTATTTAAAGATTAAAGGTGGGCCTATGTGCTCCTTCCTTCTTTACTGAATAGCTGACAAGGAGTGGGGCTGATCTGCACTTGAACTTGTAGGAATCTGCTTGGACAAACTGCTAAGTGTCTGGACTACTTGGAAGAGCCACTAATCTTTCCACAAGGCCTGTCCAATTCTCACAGCCTTTACAGACCTATTCCAACTCATCTTCCAGACACGCTGTTCCTACTTCCCGCTTAACCTTTATATTCAGCAAAACATTACCAAACTCTGCAAAATACATCTGATTTACTAAGCACCTTCCCAGTTTTTCCAAACTCATGTGCCCAAATTCTATGTATGTTTACTGAGAGGTACATTCTGCGGGACTTACTCCAAGGTAAGCATGAATTGGGTTTCTTAACCAATAGCAGCACTTGTGAATCAGACACTTTCCCAGGAGTCAAATAACCTCACAGTTAGGAAGAGGAGGAAGAAAAGGAAGAAGATGACACATGCTGAATTGGACCACATTTGTGTATTATTGGCCAAATAAGTCTTATACCTCAACAAAACTGCCATATATATTTAAATTACTGCAGAAAGAGTGCTGTAATTGTTACAGCTCTGTCTTGTAATTTACCAATTTATATATATATATATATATATATATATATATATGTGTGTGTGTGTGTATATATATATATATATATATATATATATATATATATATCTCACACACACACATACACACACTATTAAATTAAGTTCATACATATTGTTGTATTTGTGTTTATTTTGAAAGCTGCTTTGAAGCAGTAGTAGTATTAGATAATGAGGAGGGGAAGAGAGTCACACAATAACTACAAACACACACATGCATATGCACACACACAAACACACACAAATTGGCAGGAATGTGCCCGTTCTGAAGGTTATCCAAGCCCTTTGTTGGAAAAGTATTTTTCCGTTTCCATATTTTAGTTCCGTCCTATCTTTGCAATAGTATATGTGGCTGATCGATCCATTTGAGTGTAGGTAGGTCAGGCTTCAAAGCATTAAGCCTTTCATCTGAAGGCTTCCATTTAACCCTCCAAATGCTGGGTATTGTGGTGATCATCACAGTGTGTCTCATGGGCCTCGCAAATGCATTTCAAAGATATTATTGAAGATAGCAAAACAAAGGGGAAAAAGATAGCCGTTAGCACCATGGAAAGCAAAAAGGATCCTAGGGAGATATCCATGTTATTGCAGCAAAAACAGGAGAGTCTTGTGGTATCTTAAAGATTACCATTTATTGTGCTACAAGTTTCCATGGACTGCTTCTTCCAATGTAATTGTGCATGGAATTGCACTTAGTTGTTTGCCTTCGCCTTGTACAGATGAGATGCTGCAATGCACACACACACACACCCCAAATACACCAATTCTTCCAGTCCTGAGCTGTGCTAGTTTTGTCCATTTGTGGAGTGACTGGGAGCAAACTCAAGCCCTCCAAGTCAGCAGAAGGGAACATAAACCTTTGTGGAGTGGGGAATGCCATTTATATTAATCTAGATGTGAGGAATGTGTGGCCCTCCAGATACTGTTGGACTCCATCTCCCATCAGGCCCAGTGACCATGGACAATGCTCAGGGAGTTGTAGTCCAACAACATCTGAAAGGACACAGGTTCCCCTTCCCTGCTTTATAATAATAATTGAATAATAATAATTTATTAATATACCCCACCCACCTGACTGGGTTCTCCCATACAAGTTAGCCAAGGGTTTTTATGCTCTCCTTGTTTTTTTTAAAGGCAGCTAACAAGTGTACCACACTGTTCTCAGCTGCCTGAGGTCCTGCAGGACAGCAGAATACCTTGGGAGCAACATGCGGCAATCCTGGGGGAAGGACATTTATTTAGTTAAGTTTCTTGCATGCCTCTTTCCATCATAAATGACCCCCAAACTGTTCCCGCATAAGAATACACACACACACACACACACCAGCAGTCAATCAATAAGTGCAAATAGATTACTGTCAGCCTTGTTCTCTAAGTGCGGAAAGAATAATAAGATATTTACTGTGTGATGGAATCCTGCCAATGGTGTGGCATTCTGTGCTTCCAAGGGCCCAGCGCCAGATGTGACTGTCCTTGCAAATCAGCCACTTCTTGTTTATACTGCCTGTGACTCACTTTATGGACTGACTGTTTTAGGTATTCATATTCTGCAGCTGAATTTAAAACAAACAAACAAATGAAAAATAAAAGCAGTGTGGCTTACATGAAAGATTCATAGCACAAAGTGGCAGAATTACATCTATAATACCTAAAAGACTTGGAAGAAAAAAAGAGGTTTTTTCAGTGCTTGAAAAATAACAGAGTGTTGTTGTTGTTGTTGTTGTTGTTGTATTTATATCCCACCTTTTTCTCCAAGGAGCTCAAGGTGGGGTACATGGTTCTCCTGCTCCTCATTTTGATGGGAAGTTCTGCTAGAATGTTCAGTTCACATTGAGTTCATGAAACATCGTACCCTGACCTGTTCTTAATGCATGGTTGACCACATCTACGGAATGCGATTGTTATGTTCTTTTAAGTTCTGCAATATCAATCACTAGTAATAGTTTAATAAGGAGGTTTTCATACCTGTCTAACCATGTGTTCCCTTTCCCAGAATCCCTCCAACAACCCTGAGAGGTAGAGGTTGAGAGGTAGTGACCAGGCCCCCAAGCCACCCAGTGAGCCTCATGACGGAGTGAGGATTTAAATCCTGGTCGTCTAGGTCCTAGTCTAACACGCTAACCACTACACCACACAGGCAAAAATACCATCTCACTTGTCATCCCTCCCCACGTCCAACAAGACGGAGGCGTGTGCGTGTTTGAAGAAGAGCTGTGGCAGATGACCTTAACATCCATGTGGCTTGGTCTCGAGACAGGTCTTCCTTTCCATGCCTTGGGATTCCAGCTGTTTATAGCCTTTTGATTGGGCTGCTCATCTTCATCAAGACTGCAGCATTGCATGCCTTCAAGCTATTTATTCATATTAAGTAAATGCATATATGTTTCTCTAATGTGCATAATATTTGCCTGTTGCAGCATTTCCTAACTTTGGATCTGGACCTTCTGTAGTGATGCCTGGCTCCTCCTTTCCTTGTGTCAGCTGTTTTTCTCAAGGTATTGAGCTGCAGTCATCTGCCTGCTAAGTGGCTGTTTACCCTGTAAAAAAGTGCCATATTCATAGACTAGAATATTTGTGTTTACTTGTGACCTACTGTTTTGTTTGTTTATTATAAAAACTGGTCTGTGAAAAGAAATTGCAGGCTTCCTTTCAGCTATATTTCAGATGTCAAGCATCTGTAATAAAAAGAAGAGATGAACCTTGCTGATCAGACAGAGTGATTAATTTGCAAGCCAGCAAGAAGTTGGATTATTCTAACAATTATCATATTTGATGGATTAAAGACCACACTAGGATATCGGTTGCCTTGGGAGTTTATTTACAATTTCTGATCTGCTGAAGACAATGAATCCATGTCATGATGCTTGCTGTAAAATGCCCTGCTAAACTCATCACATTAAAATGCAATTCAGAGAAGCGTATTTGCTCTGTCTGTGTTATTCTGCGGCCAAATTTTGCAAGCCTTTTCTGCCGTTCTTTTTCTTAATCGCCTCATTCAAATCAATCAAGGTCCACAGGGCAAAATTACCTTTAGATTTGATAGTTTCAAAACCTCTTTCTTTTCCATAAGCTGAAATGTAGCATTCTGATTGGAATTCACCCCTCTGCTTCCCTACAGTGGTGGATTTGGAGATTCTGAACTCTTTCTCTTTTTAAATGGATACCTTCAAGATGAATGAATTTCCAGCAAATATCTATGTTGTCTGCTGCAGCCAAAACAGAAAACGAGGACTTTCATGGTCAGCTTAGATAGGTGCTGACATTTAAGCATTAGTTTTTTAAGTGCCCATGTATTTTGCCAAGCTGGGAAGTAAACAAAGATGGCAAGGTGGGACCTAAAAAGAAATAGGAAAAAAAGCTATTCTGACAGCTTAGGTTCATGACATCCATACAGTACACCATCTATGCCAGGGGTGAGGAACCCCAAACTCTCTAGGTGTTGCTGTACTTCAGTTCCCATTATCCCTGATCATTGATGATCATTACTGGGACAGATTACTATAGTCCAGCAACATATGGAGCACCACAGGTGCCTCATTCCTGATTGCAATTCCGTTGCTCTTTGAAATGTTTCCAAGTGTTGGGTGCAGAACTCCAACACCTGAGTGGTGCTTCTAACCACTTTCAGCTGAATGGGCTTTGAAGAGCTGAACATGATCAAGAGCTGAACATGCAGAGGCCAGAAATGGCAGAGGTGTGGACACTGTGACGGGAAGGCACACATTGCCCCAGGGCGCTCCATGAGTAACCCCAGCTCTAATAATGTCTGCATAGGGCTACCCTTTCTTCCCTTCCCCCCATCCCTCATTAGCCTCCTCCTTACAGAGAACATTTGCATTGTAGCTTCCTTAACTTATATTATTCGGTAATGCATTGTGCATGCTAATGGAGGGGTGGTGATGATGTGTTGCTGAGGCTACTATCTGAAGAATCTTTCTTAACCATTAGTTAAGGCAGTGTGGTGTAGTGGTTGTACTGTTGGACTAGACCTGTTAACCTAGGGTTCTAGTTCCCCCTCAGACACTGCCATTGGGCCAGTCACTGTCAATGGGAAGAGGGAGAATCATGTCTGCCACCTTGAGCTTATTGGAGGAAAGGTGGGATATAAATATAATAAAATGAATATATAGTTGATTGCTTGAGCAATATTGAAAGTCTGAAAGTTCTGGAAATGGTTCCAGTAGGGAAGTTATGTTAAGGCAGAACATGGAATATTCACAGGTTCAGAGCAACTCTTTACAGTTCTTCCTTAGAACTTGGAACATGGGTGGCAGTGGCTCTTTGAGCCCCACAGCAAAATTCATTTACTCAGAGGTAAACCTGCGCTGGTTTGATTACTTCTAGCATAAACTGTAAAGACTGAGGGGTCACTCCACAAAGCAGTGACCACTTACGAGGAAGTACAGAACATGTGTCACCATTGTGGTGCCTTCCAGATTTTGTTGGACTCCAGTTCCCATTGGCTCCAGGGGAAATAGAGTTGGAAGCCAACAACTGGAGGTCACAACATTGTCTAGCAGGAGGGGATGGCAAGTGTAGCAGGAAGATTCAAGGACAATCAAATAAACATTAAAACTAGTATAGTATAGTATAGTATAGTATAGTATAGTATAGTATAGTATAGTATAGTATCAAATACGCATGTATATGCGTATACATATACATTCAGAATATGGATAGATATCTTTTCAAAATGAGAACAAGAGCATCAAGTGATACTAGGGACAGTCTTAGTTGTGTTTTCCAGTATTTTTTATCAATTAAAAAAATCAGTATGGCAGAAGTAATTTTTTATTTTGAAAGTTTGGTCCAGAGAAAGAAGTTTGAGACCCACTGGTCTAGCCTATCCCTGTTTACAGCGGATGCATGAAGCAGGACCTACCACTTACAGTGAGGGGGGAAAGTATTTGATCCCCTGCTAAATTTGCCCGTTTGCCCATAATTTTAATGGTAGATTTATTGTAGCTGTGAGAGACAGAATAATAACAGGAAAACCCCCAGAAACCCAGAAGACAAAAGTCAGAGATTGATGTGCATTATAATGCGTGAAATCAGTATTTGATCCCTTTGCAAAAGATGACTTAGTACTTGGT